TCACTTCGTTCCTACCAGTAATATCCGAACAGCTGCAGAGCCTCTGTGACTGCCAGCGGGTTATTCAGTAACCACCCGTGGCCGTTCACCGTGTTGACACGACGGCTTAGCCTCCAGCCCGCAGGGAGAGCGCGGACACACACACGTATATTGCGCAATCAGCGTGGGCAGGTGGAACGCCGCGAGTGCGGACGTGTTGAGGAGTGAAGAGCGCCCATAGGGGCGCATGCGTGTTAATCCCAGGGCGGTGGTGAGCCAGCCAGTGAGCGATGTCCCTCAGAGAGGGCGCGGGGGGGGGGCGATCACCCGATCGGCGGTGGCCCGGTGAGAAGCGGCCGAGGAGGATGGGGGAGTGGAGGGGGTGGACGTCGCGCCCCACCAGCTCACGGGGAGCGGGGAGGTGGGCGTCAGCCCCCACAGAGGACCAAGTAAAAAACCCTGGGAGATCCCGACCATGACAAGGGAGGGTGGAGGAAGAACCATGGTTAAAATAGAAAGTGGATGAATGAGAAGTGAGGTTAAGAGCAGAGCAATTTAAGTGGGATGCCAGAGATACCGAGGTTCGACAGAGTGGATAAGAGGATGGAGTTATCAAGGGTGTCAAAAGCCACAGACAGATCTAGCGAAATTAGGACAGATGAAAGGCCCGAGTGGTGTGAGTTAGCCAAGTGGTTATGCACATGGAGGAGAGTAGTATCGGTGGAATGGAGAGGGTGGAAACAAGATTGGTGGAGGGGATAGCGAGCATAAGAAGAGATATAGGATGTGGGTAAGGTGTGAATTAGACGTTCATTGAGATTAGAGAAGTAGGAAAGCTAGGAAATATGGCGATAGTGTGCACGGATGGAAGGGACTATTAAAGGTTTTTTTCAGAATGGTAGAATAATGGCGGGTTTTTAAAAGTTAGGAATGATACCAGATGAGAGGGAAGAGTTGAAAAGAGCGAGGAGGAACAGGTGAATAGTAGGGATGGCAGATGGAAGCGAGGAAGGTGGTAGTTGATAAAGGGCCGGATGAGCTGAGGAGATGATGTTTGACAGCTCCAAGAGGGACGCAGGGATAAAAGGTATTTAAAGTAGAGGAAAAATTTGAGGAGGGAAGAGAGGGGCAGGTAGATATGATGGTGGCAGGAAGGGAGGTATTGAGGAGGGTAGGACACATTCGAGAAATATTCTCCAACAAATATTTGGGTAAAACTAATGGGAAGGGGCAGAAGAATACATAACAGTTGAGAATGACGAAGGATGTAGTAGAGTGTTTAAGGTCGAAAATAGCAGAGCAGGGTGCACGGAAAGGGAATAATGCGGGATAGAAAATGTAATTGGCGAGCAGCCTCCAGTGTGGAAACGAAGCCGGAAAATAAGAAAATGTAAGGTGAGTAGGAATCAATAGTGGGCAGGGTATTTCAGGTTTGCTCGGCTTCGGATGCGAGGTGATGTTGAATCTTTAGACCAGGTGTTACCCAATACCTAGGGGGATGATTCAGAGGGGTGAAAGGCGTCTAATCAGTAGGATAGTGCGGAATGTAGGATGGATGATGCTTGGTCTGGGTAGAGATAGGAGAAATCAGATAGAAATGGTAGGTTCATGGAAACCAGGGAATTAAGTGCAGAGTGATCGATGGAGCGTATATTTCGGCAGAGGCGTGGGGGGGAGGGATGAAAGGTTGGATGAAATTGTGAGTGTCACAGTCAGTAATAGGTGATTGGACAGAGGATGTGGGTCAACTAGAACATGGGAAGCTGAGCAAGTGGAAGTGAAGATAAGGTTAAGCGTGCTACTGGAGAGGTAGATCAGATGAGAGGAGACAAGGTGGGTGTAATTTGATATAACTAGCCTTTGTACCCCATCCCATCCGGGACCGCTGCGAACCACGTGAGACAGATACAGGGTAACCCCATTTTTAAGTCTTTGTGTGCAGGTTTTCACGACATGTTTTAAGCAAAGTATACATTTAGTGAATGTGTACACTCTGTACTCACAGCTGAGAGATAGACCTCTCCTACTGGTTCCCTCTCGCTGGCGCTGCTGGCGCTGCTGACGCTACTGGCACTGCTGGCGCTACTGGCACTGCTGGAGCTGCTTCTGCTGCTTCTGCTGGTGCTGCTTCTGCTGGTGGAGGGCTGTCGAGTTGCTGTTTTATGCCTCACCCTCCTTCCCCAACTGAGCTGCCTTTTATAGGGAGTCCCCAACCCAGTCTATAACTGTTCTCAGCCTGTAGGCTTGTCACTTACACCATCCCCTTTCTCAAATCACAGAGTGACTCCTCTACACCACTGTACTGCCAACTCATAAAACACATGCTACCTGCATTACAGAAGCAATACGATTATCAGAAACCAGCTTGATGATGAGGTCAAGTATGCAATTGCTGCCCGTGGAAGAGACACGGTTTGGGTCCTGATTGACAACTTCCAAATTATGAGAAATGAGAGTGTTGGCAATGTGACTGTCAATGGTTGATTGGTTTGTGTTAAGGCATTTGAAATCACCGGTAAGCACGAACCCCTGGGATGAAATATTAAGGGCGTAACAAAGGCCTGATAGGTCAAACAGGAAGTTGGAAATACTGCCCTCACGAGAGCATGCCGTTAATAAGGATGAGGTTGAAGGTGGAAGACTGGGTGATAAGAGACACGCATCTCAAAGGTGGAAGGAACGGATGGTAATGAAGTGGTTTAATGCTGAGCTATGTAGCGTAAATGACTGCCAAGCCTCCACCATGATGTCCAGTTGTAGGGTTAACATGGAGAACATTGTAGCCATGTGGGGCGACTTCCGATGTAGCCGCAGGAGGATCATCAGGCCTGGATCAGGTCTCAGTGATGAGGTCTAGGCTATGATCCAAGATGGTGTCATGAACGAGGGCAGACTTGTTAGTGATGGAGCGAGTGTTGAGGAGACCCAGGAGGATGGCTGGTAACTCAGGCGTTAGTCTGAGTGGACGAAGCATTGGTGGTTGACTCTGTATGATCGGTCAAATGTTGGTGCGTCGCCTGCAACCACGGTGCCTCACGACGCCGGTGGAGGCCATTAAATAGACGCAGGTCAGAGTGGAGAGTATAGATCGGTGCAGGTGGAGACCATGGACAGATGCAGCATGGCGGAAGGATAGCAGGTATGACCTTGAGGCGTGGGTCATGAGGAAACAGGTGGATGACGCCGAAACCAAAGCTGAAGAGATGGACAAGGAAACGACGCTGGTAATGGCGGCATGCAGATGGCCCAGGGAGCAGCACCTGAGCGAGGTGCCCAGTGAGTGGTGCCTGCGCCAGATGCCCGGGGTTCTAAAGTTGAGCCGCACCAGGGGGATACACTGCCCCGTCGACCGGAGTGTGAGCCACGGCCTCAGGGGCAGGTGACACAGCGCCGACAGCTCCAGTTCCAACTGCAGCGTCGGCACTTGAAGTCCTCCTCGCGAACAGCTCACGCACAGCAGGTTGGATGCTTGCACAATTCAACCCGCGTAGTTGGCCCCAGAGGCAGCCATGAGGCAACAGCGGCGGCGATAGCAGGCGCAATCCCTGATGAGGAGGAAGGCCGCAACATGGACAGAGCTGCCACGTCAACATGGGGGCGCGTGTAGTGACGGCGATGCGACAGTAGGGGACGCCACTGGCCCAGGTAGTGGAAGCCCGGGTCCGTGGACGGTCAGCCCGAGCCCGATTTGCGGAAGAACACCGACCACACCGTGGCAGCAGTGGATGCTGCAGTGCACTGGCTGCACACCGACAAAAGACGCCAGGGAAAAGCGCCCGAGCAGCCAGGATGATCATGGCCAGAACGGACTTTAAGCCCGGGCTGTGACAGACTCCAAGCTCGGACAGCGAGGCAACAGCTCCGTGCGGCCGAGAAAGTAATAAAAAGTGATAAACAGAAGAAGATTAAAACGAAACGGGTAAATAAATACTGGGGAAGAGCAGGAAGAAGAGAGATGGGGTCCTGGATAACTAAGCTTGATGGAAAGGAGGATACACAATGCTGGAGCAACTCGGACGGCAGCCAGCTCGCGTGGTGCCATCTTGCATGAAATCAAAGCATAAACTTTTATTTCATGAGATGGTGATTAGGTCACGCCATGATCCTGTGAACCAGAAAGGGTCAAACGGATCTCCTCAATGGGCTCTTACACAAGAGCCCCCCGGGCTTGGCCCTCCTGTGTGTAATAGTCACACTGGAGGGCCTCTCGTGGCTGCTACTGCCTTGGAATGTTGTCCAAAAAATGCACCTGATGTGGGGAATTTGTGAAACCCTGGCACAAACCATGAGGTCCCATTTCATAAATTCGTGTTATTTATTTGCAGATTGTCAGACATTCCCAATAACGGGAAAGGCTCCCCCCACAATTGGAACGGCTTGGAGAGGCGTTACACTGAGTTTGCCATCCACATCTCGGTCGTGAGATCAGCGCGGGTGCCCGAGATGTCGCCATGAGCATCTTCCCAAGCGCGATTCGGTCGCGATCGGCCAAGTCCCCCTCTCCGAGGAGAAGACTCGAGTCCACAAGTTTAGTGCACAATGTTAAGCACAATATTTAATGACACTGCCTTGACAGTGGTGCAAGAGAGCAAATACAATCTATACAAAATCTTAAAAGCATTAAATAGATAATACATACAGTTTCCCTTCGAATCAGCATTATTGATGGACGTGTTGAGTTTCTTGCCCCACGTACGATAACAGAATTCGCGGAGCCTCTTGGAAGCAAACACGAAACGCGTGCGTGTGCAGAGCTCAAGAACAAAGTTCACTTCCTTTACACAACGAGCTGCTGATAACTACCGGATCCGCGGAGGCTCCACTAGGGACGCCCCACGTCACCGCGTCCAGGTCAACGGGGAGCCCGGATCATCCCAGCATGGACGTGGCTCTCACGAAGGACGCGGGGTTCAACAAAAACAACTGCAATGTGGTGCGAAGGCCGGGGAACTGAGCGCCGCTCCACAGCCTCACAACCGCTGGGATGCACGGGTGTGGTGCTCACAATCGTTGTGTCATTGTTGCAAAATCAGTTTATTCTCGTAAAAAACATTGATACAATACTTTTGATTTGGGATACTTCCACCGAAATGACACGAAAGCACACAACTGGACACTTTTTGACACGTGATCAATCGTCTGAATTGGTGAACATCCAGAACCTGATGCCACACTCATGCAACTGCACCCATTTCTGCATCTACTGTTGCTGAAGCTTCGGAGCCGCTGTTTGATGTTGCTAGAGCCACCAAAGTGCCTCATTCCCCAAGCAAATAAAACAGTCTTTTTACATTTAACCCTTTACCTAATATCTATAAAACTTTAATATTTTTTTTCAACTAAAAACTGCATTTTACAGTACAGTCGATCCTATTCGTGAATGGAACAGTTGTCCAATAAACAGGCAGCAAATCCTATCAAAAGAAGCCAATACACTTCCCCTTTCAACTCGTTAACCCGTGGCTAAATAAACCCCCAAAGAGCCACCCAGGCCCATGCTGAGGACCTCCATCGCCCAATGCGTTTTACACAATAAATCATTGGTTCCACATTATCCCCGACAGTCGGAAAAGTGTAGGTGTGAGTCCCCTGGCCGCACGCACAAGAGCAACAAACCCACTCTTTGTATGACTTTTGTTTTCACAAAATGATGCCACACTCAAAATATACGATTTAATTTCTTCTAAATTTAAGATAACTGTCTGACAAGTAAATAAACAATAAACGTATTCTCATCCAAGTTGGTTAGCAGTCTGGGATCTCTGATCCGGCTGCCCAGCCTCACAGCCCACACGAGCCAATCAGTAGTGGCCCTAACTGAGCTATGCGCACGCCACCAACACAATCCTGTAGGCTACTGGATAACTTTTGAAAAAGGGCTTCATAGCTCATCGGATTTCTCCAGGATAAATTAAGATTCTGATACTAGATCCCTCTGGTGGGCATTTTACTTCGTGATAAAGAGCACAGCAAATTTATTTGCTGTTGAAACCCACGAGCAGATGGCTGTGATAAGGGCAGTACGTATTCTAGAATTTAACCAGACATGCTCAATAAAGTTATCCCATTATATTTCAAGGTGAGCACATGAGGTGTGGGTTAACTCCAGTCATTGGCTCCGCCAGAGTCATGCCATCTCCATGACTTGTGCAGCATGACAATGCCGCAGAAGCAGCTTTTGATTTTCGATTCCCTCAAGGGAGACCCGAGGTTGCGCCAAAATCCAGGCTGGCGTACACCAGCGTATCCGTCTGCTCATCCGCATCTTCAACGCCGCCAGCGGTCGCCGCCCCCCCTCCCTCTCCAACTGTAGCACCGCTGGCGCTAGCGGATGGACCGCGGTGGCCACCAGCGCCCTGCTCACCACACAGCGCAGGCACATGCAGTGCTCGCACGGGAACATGGCTGTGGTGTCCAACAGCACACACGGAGTCGTGGAAAGCAATACAACTTTACAGATTTCAATTCACACTACATTTGTCAAGTTTAAGGATGAGTTCATTTCAGGATACACGAGGGTTAGGATCTTGTCAGAGACACGGACTGGATTGGAGGAGCGGGCATTGGACGAGCGGGTACCAGACATGACCGGTATCAGGGACCCAGTGGGAGCCGAGGGCTGGAGCAGGGCTCACCGTCGGGCGCACCGTGCTGTAGAGGGTGGCCTCCTCGCTTGTGGGCCCTGGCGTGGCTCGCTTGCGGTTCACTTCGCTGTACAGGGCCCCGGGCTGAGGTTCCTCTGTTGAGAGAATCACCACGCACGTCAGATGCACAGCCATAGCCTGCAGCCTTTAGGCCCTAATCCTGACAGCCGGCACTGGGAGTATGCGTGGTGTGTGTGCTGTGGATGGTGGGTAGAGCGTGTGTGGAGTGTGGTGTTGGGAACCGGGTAAACGTGCTCACAGTGTGCCGTGAGGCCCCTCACCAGCCTGGGCGGCCATGCCCACGACGCTGTACAGGCAGTCAGTGTTGGCATTTGGGACTGAGGGCCCCGCTGAGTCACCAGGGAGATGTATACGGGGGTGTGGCTGAGAGCAGGGGCCCTGTCACCGGGATGCAGAGCACGAAACATGGAATCAACATTCACATCGTCATCTTATTCAACACTTATATTGTGACTATGTCCAAATCCTCAGAGTACAACTCCCTTCCCTCAAACACCTGTAATCCTGATCAGGCTCAACCCCCTACTTTGAAGGTGAATGCCCTCCTGCCTTTTTTATGAAAATAAATCTGCTCATTGTTTCTGTACCGGGTCCAGCTCCCTCCGCAGATTGCAGTAGAGTGGCAACTGGGAGACTGCCATGGACAGGGCTCCATCTCCTGCCGATCCATCCGCGCTGGGCTGTGCCACCCTCTCGTGAGCCTCCATTGCTCCTCCATCAGGCCCCATGTGGTCTCCGAGTTGAAAGAGAGCAGCTGGCTCCGCCTTGCGACGTTTCATCATGGCGGCCAGCACTGGGGTGGGACATGTCAGCGTGAGTGACATCAGAAATGCTCTAATCTAGCGAGGGAGACTCTCACACCCAGGCCTCACAGAGCCATCGTGGCTAAACACATTGACACAGTAACCCACGTACACGTGTTGAACATTGTTATTGAACAGAGATCTAATTGGTCCTATATCACTGGGGATGACTCTAACGGCCATCACCGTGCCAACGAGTGGCATGCTGCGAAAGTGTTCTACAATGTCCCCATGCCGGAACTGCAAGGGTCAAAACACATAGGTCAAAGGTCACCATTAGCCTTTGCAGCATCGTGAGCATGCCCCACCCTGCCCCCTGGCCCCCCTCACTGGCCAGCAAAAGGGCCTCATGACCTGAGGCTTAAGGCTGGGATCCTGAAGAGGCCTGCAGGCAGCCACTGGGGTCATGGAGCAGAGAAATTTTAATCCTACAGCGGTTTACACCATGATTGTCACACGCTCCCCACTGTCTGCATCACACCGCTCGTGTCCACTCCCCACTGCCTGCGTCACACCGCTCGTGTCCACTCCCCACTGTGTGCGTCACACAGCTCGTGTCCACTCCCCACTGCCTGCGTCACACCGCTCGTGTCCACTCCCCACTGTGTGCGTCACACAGCTCGTGTCCACTCCCAACTGTGTGCGTCACACAGCTCGTGTCCACTCCCCACTGTGTGCGTCACACCGCTCGTGTCCACTCCCCACTGTGTGCGTCACACCGCTCGTGTCCACTCCCCACTGCCTGCGTCACACCGCTCGTGTCCACTCCCAACTGTGTGCGTCACACCGCTCGTGTCCACTCCCCACTGCCTGCGTTACACCGCTCGTGTCCACTCCCCACTGCCTGCGTCACACCGCTCGTGTCCACTCCCCACTGTGTGCGTCACACCGCTCGTGTCCACTCCCCACTGTGTGCGTCACACAGCTCGTGTCCACTCCCCACTGTGTGCGTCACACCGCTCGTGTCCACTCCCCACTGCCTGCGTCACACCGCTCGTGTCCACTCCCAACTGTGTGCGTCACACCGCTCGTGTCCACTCCCCACTGTGTGCGTCACACAGCTCGTGTCCACTCCCCACTGTGTGCGTCACACCGCTCGTGTCCACTCCCAACTGTGTGCGTCACACCGCTCGTGTCCACTCCCCACTGTGTGCGTCACACAGCTCGTGTCCACTCCCCACTGTGTGCGTCACACCGCTCGTGTCCACTCCCCACTGTGTGCGTCACACCGCGCGTGTCCACTCCCCACTGCCTGCGTCACACCGCTCGTGTCCACTCCCAACTGTGTGCGTCACACCGCTCGTGTCCACTCCCCACTGCCTGCGTCACACCGCTCGTGTCCACTCCCCACTGTGTGCGTCACACCGCTCGTGTCCACTCCCCACTGCCTGCGTCACACCGCTCGTGTCCACTCCCAACTGTGTGCGTCACACCGCTCGTGTCCACTCCCCACTGTGTGCGTCACACAGCTCGTGTCCACTCCCCACTGTGTGCGTCACACAGCTCGTGTCCACTCCCCACTGTGTGCGTCACACCGCTCGTGTCCACTCCCAACTGTGTGCGTCACACAGCTCGTGTCCACTCCCAACTGTGTGCGTCACACCGCTCGTGTCCACTCCCCACTGCCTGCGTCACACCGCTCGTGTCCACTCCCCACTGTGTGCGTCACACCGCTCGTGTCCACTCCCCACTGTGTGCGTCACACAGCTCGTGTCCACTCCCCACTGCCTGCGTCACACCGCTCGTGTCCACTCCCAACTGTGTGCGTCACACCGCTCGTGTCCACTCCCCACTGTGTGCGTCACACCGCTCGTGTCCACTCCCCACTGTGTGCGTCACACCGCTCGTGTCCACTCCCCACTGTGTGCGTCACACCGCTCGTGTCCACTCCCAACTGTGTGCGTCACACCGCTCGTGTCCACTCCCCACTGTGTGCGTCACACAGCTCGTGTTCACTCCCCACTGTGTGCGTCACACCGCTCGTGTCCACTCCCCCCGCTCGTGTCCACTCCCCACTGTGTGCGTCACACCGCGCATGTCCACTCCCCACTGCCTGCGTCACACAGCTCGTGTTCACTCCCCACTGTGTGCGTCACACCGCTCATGTCCAATCCCCACTGTCTGTGTGTGACGCCTGCATTAGAGAGCTGCCCCCATCCCACTTCACGCCGAGGAAGTTCTCAGTTATCGTTCGCAGAAAGGCGCGCGCAGCTGGGTGTTGCACAACACCACCTCCTCCTCGCCAGCAGAGCGCGGAGAGAAGCAGCAGCAGGAGGAGGGCGACCCCCACACCGGTCGCCACGTGCAGGGCCCAGGATGCAGACACCGGCCCTGACACAAACCACACATTGTCCGTCATTATTATTGCTGCTCTCGTTTTGTAAGCAATAACCTCACAACGCACGTGAATGAGAAGAAAACCTGAATGGCTGAAACCCTGAATGAGTAAAACGCTGAGCAAGTAAATAAATGAATAAGTGAAGCAATGAATGAAATAGAATGAGTGAATTCCGGTTTGAGCACCTTGAATGTGAAACATGGCCTCAGTCTCGCCGACTTCGTTTGTCGCCACACAGGTCACATTCAGCTCCTGTGATCGCTTCATGACCACGGAGCTCCGGGTCATGGTTCCATCCCCATCCTGGGTCTTGATCCATTGAGATGCATCGCTCCCCACGTGCCTCCAGGTGATGTTGGCACGAGGATTTGCCTTCACCTCACATCGGAGGCACAGGTCACCTCCACCCCCACACGTCTCATCTTGAGACACGTTCACCACCACCGGTGCATCTGTCAACAGAGAAGGATCCGCCAGTCACTCATTCACTCGTTCGTTCATCGCGCACTGACACAGGATCATGCTGCTGGGTGAGAGTTGCGTGCGTGGCGAGGTTCTGCTGCTGTGACTCACACTGCACGTCCAGGTCGAGGTGAGCGGGAGTCCCGGGGCCCTCGCTATTAGACGCCACGCAGACGTAGCGCCCCGAGTCCTCCGCCGTGACGTTCTTCAGAAGCCAGGCGCCATCTGTGTGATTATGGAGGAGCTGGCGGCCGCTTGGTGGCTCCCTGCTCCAGCTGAACGACGTAAAATTCGGGTTACCGTGGGCGAGGCACTTCAAGGTGACGTCGTCACCAGACTCCACCCTCGGGAGACGAGGAGCAGAATGAACAGATGCCGTTGTGTTCACCGGGGCGTCTGTCAACAAAGCGTGAGATGCGTTCATAGCAACAAAGGCAAGACAAGCACCCTGAGCCCTAAGCAGAAGACGTCTTGACAAGTGGATGGGAGAGGAGAGGGAGCCTCTCACTACTCCCTTGTGCAGCCACACAGGGCTCAGTGAGTGGGGGTTGGTAACCTTACAGACAGGGTCATCTGTCAAGGCTCTATCTGCCAGACTCACAGCATTTACCGTCTGCCCAGCAGGGTTGTCCTGTGCTGGCACTGAGGAGCTTTGCATCTCATGTCACCTGGCCCTGTGTGCAAACTAAAGACCACCATTCAGTTTATTTCACAGGAAGCAGCGATGATCGCCTGTTATCTCACGTAAAGTAATTAAGTGGCTTACACTCACTGGAGGGCCTCACACAAAGCCAGCAATTACTGTGCCACCCATAGCACGACACAGTGGTTACAGTCTGTACACCGATCTAAACACAAGGGCAATAACCACTGCTGGACACTCACACTTCACGTCCAGGATGAATTTTTGGACCATCGTTGAGGCCAGGTCGCCTCCCGAAGCCTCACAGCGACATTTCCTTCCATTGTCCTCGGCTGATGGGGTGAAGCTGAGCCGGTTCGTCACGGTAAACGTCCCGTCTGGAGATTGACTCCGGGAGGTTGAGTTTGTCCACGTGTTAAACTGAGTTTGTCCACTTGAGTTTGTCCACTTGACGACGTCGTCCAAGACCCAGCGGATGGTGACAGAGTCCATGGGGACCACGGTGTCCACGCTGCAGCCCAGGGTGGCCAGCACGGTGGCACGGAGCACTGACTGGGCCCGTAGAAAGGCTGAACACGAGGGGCATAGGTTACTGACATGAGTTGACATGGGCAGGTAGAGTGTTATTGACAGTCCAGAACATCACCCAATATGCACGGAGGCAATTGTACATACTTGGAGCAAGGATCTCTCCACTACCAATAAAAAAATACATTATCCTAAAGATTACAAAAATACTGGAATTTAAATAAATATATATGCCTGTTAAATTTCGATTTAAAGCTTTCGTGACTGCAGGGATTCATCTTCTTGGTTCTTTCGGTAAAGTCACGTAGAAGGGAAGTAATAAAATAATAAAAATAAAACATAATAAAACAATTCTCACGACGTTTCGGCCACAACGCAAGCAGCCGTCCTCAGGTGAAAACCAGGTCCGTCGAGGCGACAGAGTCTGAATGAAACAGCACACGGGCTTAGAGCATATATATAAGCTGGGCGCATTGACAAAGGAATTTGCATATCAACAGGAATTTAGCATATTTATGGGAAATGCAGGAATGTAATTAGTACTGCATATGCATGTGCATTATGCAGGATTAACAGCATCAAAGGGAGCTGCAGTTACTGCTGCTGCAGCAGTTTCTGCTGCTGCAGTTTCTGCTGCTGCTGCAGTTGCTGCTGCTGCTGCAGTTGCTGCTGCTGCTGCACTTGCTGCTGCTGCTGCACTTGCTGCTGCTGCTGCACTTGCTGCTGCTGCACTTGCTGCTGCTGCTGCAGTTGCTGCCTTATCCATTTTAATATAACACTATGTATTATTCTACCCACCCTAATGTGTATCATACTGCTATATGTTTACTGTACAATTACGACACCATACATTACTCTGCACACTGCACCATGCCAGTGAGTGGAACGCGGTCTGAAAGTCACCGTTAACGTGAACACAATCAGTTAAGATCCGAAATGGTTTATTACGTCCTTCCAATGATTGCTAAGCCAGAATCCATCTTCTCGGTTGAAATTGTCTCTGTGTTTGTATATGTGGATCGCCTCATGAACGAATCTCTCATGATAGCCAGATGGCTTGCAGAGAACCTCTGTCTTGGAGAAGTCAATGTCATGTGAGCACACTGAATTGTAACAGTGATCTGCCACGGCTGAGGTGTTTGTCCTACCGTGTTTCAGGTCTGCCTTATGTTCACGGATGCGGTCCGAGACATGTCGTTTGGTTTCTCCAATGTAACTGCTACCACAGAGGAAACTTAGTTTGTAGACGCCAGGGTACTGTATGTCTGGAACCACATCTTTTACGGACGGGACCAGATCACGGATTTTATGTACTGTGTTGAATCGGACCTGGATCTTGTGTTTAATCAGGATTTTGGAGATCTTTTTGTGACCCCAGCAATGTAGGGTAAGGTGATGGTCTTGAAAGGCTCCTCAACAGGATCCTTCTTGATGGTTGGAGTGATGTCTTTGCGGATTGTGTAGTCGGAGTAACCATTAGCCTTAAGAGCTTGGCGTACGTGTTTGAGTTCACTGGAAATGTGTTCATGGTCGGAGATGCATTGGGCTCTATGATATAGAGTCTTGATGAGGGAATTCTTCTGGGATGGATGGTGGTGGAAATCCGGTTTTAGATAAGCATCCGTGTGGGTGGCTTTCCTGTAGACAGAGTGGCTCATTGAACCATCAGGTCTCCTTTTGATTAGGACATCCAAAAAGGGTAGCTTGCCATCATTTTCGACTTCCATGGTGAATCTGATGGCTGGGTGTATGGAATTGATGTGGTCGAGAAATTGGTCTAGAGCAGGTCGGCCATGTGGCCAGATGACAAAAGTGTCGTCTACGTACCTCTTCCATAAGGTCGGGCGTAGAGTGGCAGTCTGGATGGCGTCCGTCTCAAATTTCTCCATGAAGATGTTGGCTACAACCGGAGATAGGGGGGAGCCCATTGGGGTGCCCTCAATTTGCTTGTAGAAGGTTCCATTCCAGGTGAAGTATGTATTGGTTAAGCAGTGTCTCACCAGGGGGGGTACCCCAGCATTCAGTCCTTGATGAACCAAGTCTTCAATGATTGCGATGGTGTCAGGCACAGGCACCTTGGTGAACAAGGAAACCACATCAAAACTGACAAGCAGGTCGTCTGGGGACAGGGCAATCCCCTTGATTGTCGATACCAGGTCAGTAGAGTTTAGTACTGCAGAGGTGGTTTTTCCAGTGAAAGGCCGTAGGATTTCGGACAAAAAACGAGCCAGTTTGTAAGTGGGGGAGTTGATAGTAGAGACAATGGGACGAAGAGGTGTATCTTCTTTATGTATCTTTGGCAAGCCGTACAATCTTGGTGGCCTGGCTGCAGAAGGTTTCAACGAGAACTGTTTGGTCTGATCAATTAATGCGGTTGAAGCAGAAATGATGTTGTTGGTTTTGGAGACGAGGCTGTTGGTAGGGTCTCTTTTTATTTTTGTATAGCTGCCATCGTTGAGTAGTTCTTGAATTTTGTTGTTGTATTCTATTTTGTCCATGATGACAGTGGCATTGCCTTTGTCGGCTGAGAGGATGACAATGTCATCCCTCTTTTTTAATTGAGCTAATTCAAAACGCTCATCTTTGCTAATGTTGCTAAGATGCCAGCTAGCAACATTAGCAAAGATGAGCGTTTTGAATTAGCTCAATTAAAAAAGAGGGATGACATTGTCATCCTCTCAGCCGACAAAGGCAATGCCACTGTCATCATGGACAAAATAGAATACAACAACAAAATTCAAGAACTACTCAACGATGGCAGCTATACAAAAATAAAAAGAGACCCTACCAACAGCCTCGTCTCCAAAACCAACAACATCATTTCTGCTTCAACCGCATTAATTGATCAGACCAAACAGTTCTCGTTGAAACCTTCTGCAGCCAGGCCACCAAGATTGTACGGCTTGCCAAAGATACATAAAGAAGATACACCTCTTCGTCCCATTGTCTCTACTATCAACTCCCCCACTTACAAACTGGCTCGTTTTTTGTCCGAAATCCTACGGCCTTTCACTGGAAAAACCACCTCTGCAGTACTAAACTCTACTGACCTGGTATCGACAATCAAGGGGATTGCCCTGTCCCCAGACGACCTGCTTGTCAGTTTTGATGTGGTTTCCTTGTTCACCAAGGTGCCTGTGCCTGACACCATCGCAATCATTGAAGACTTGGTTCATCAAGGACTGAATGCTGGGGTACCCCCCCTGGTGAGACACTGCTTAACCAATACATACTTCACCTGGAATGGAACCTTCTACAAGCAAATTGAGGGCACCCCAATGGGCTCCCCCCTATCTCCGGTTGTAGCCAACATCTTCATGGAGAAATTTGAGACGGACGCCATCCAGACTGCCACTCTACGCCCGACCTTATGGAAGAGGTACGTAGACGACACTTTTGTCATCTGGCCACATGGCCGACCTGCTCTAGACCAATTTCTCGACCACATCAATTCCATACACCCAGCCATCAGATTCACCATGGAAGTCGAAAATGATGGCAAGCTACCCTTTTTGGATGTCCTAATCAAAAGGAGACCTGATGGTTCAATGAGCCACTCTGTCTACAGGAAAGCCACCCACACGGATGCTTATCTAAAACCGGATTCCCACCACCATCCATCCCAGAAGAATTCCCTCATCAAGACTCTATATCATAGAGCCCAATGCATCTCCGACCATGAACACATTTCCAGTGAACTCAAACACGTACGCCAAGCTCTTAAGGCTAATGGATACTCCGACTACACAATCCGCAAAGCCATCACTCCAACCATCAAGAAGGATCCTGTTGAGGAGCCTTTCAAGACCATCACCTTACCCTACATTGCTGGGGTCACAAAAAAGATCTCCAAAATCCTGATTAAACACAAGATCCAGGTCCGATTCAACACAGTACATAAAATCCGTGATCTGGTCCCATCTGTAAAAGATGTGGTTCCAGACATACAGTACCCTGGCGTCTACAAACTAAGTTGCCTCTGTGGTAGCAGTTACATTGGAGAAACCAAACGACATGTCTCGGACCGCATCCGTGAACATAAGGCAGACCTGAAACACGGTAGGACAAACACCTCAGCCGTGGCAGATCACTGTTACAATTCAGTGGGCTCACATGACATTGACTTCTCCAAGACAGAGGTTCTCTGCAAGCCATCTGGCTATCATGAGAGATTCGTTCATGAGGCGATCCACATATACAAACACAGAGACAATTTCAACCGAGAAGATGGATTCTGGCTTAGCAATCATTGGAAGGACGTAATAAACCATTTCGGATCTTAACTGATTGTGTTCACGGTAACGGTGACTTTCAGACCGCGTTCCACTCACTGGCATGGTGCAGTGTGCAGAGTAATGTATGGTGTCGTAATTGTACAGTAAACATATAGCAGTATGATACACATTAGGGTGGGTAGAATAATACATAGTGTTATATTAAAATGGATAAGGCAGCAACTGCAGCAGCAGCAGCAAGTGCAGCAGCAGCAGCAAGTGCAGCAGCAGCAGCAGCAAGTGCAGCAGCAGCAGCAAGTGCAGCAGCAGCAGCAAGTGCAGCAGCAGCAGCAACTGCAGCAGCAGCAGCAACTGCAGCAGCAGCAGCAACTGCAGCAGCAGCAACTGCTGCAGCAGCAGTAACTGCAGCTCCCTTTGATGCTGTTAATCCTGCATAATGCACATGCATATGCAGTACTAATTACATTCCTGCATTTCCCATAAATATGCTAAATTCCTGTTGATATGCAAATTCCTTTGTCAATGCGCCCAGCTTATATATATGCTCTAAGCCCGTGTGCTGTTTCATTCAGACTCTGTCGCCTCGACGGACCTGGTTTTCACCTGAGGACGGCTGCTTGCGTTGTGGCCGAAACGTCGTGAGAATTGTTTTATTATGTTTTATTTTTATTATTTTATTACTTCCCTTCTACGTGACTTTACCGAAAGAACCAAGAAGATACATGCCTGTTATTTTGTTACTGGTGTACAAACTGGGTAAACAACCGAACCTCACATCACAGCACACACAGTAATCACACAGCGCA